CCATCCTCTCTCTCTAGCAAACTGGAAAAAGAGTCCTGATTTCCCGTCGGGGTTGGGGGAGGGGGGCTAGATTTGGGTTAGATTCTTAAGCACCAAGCAGTGCATCTGACTTCATGCGGTTCCTCTCTCTCTGTCTCTCCCCCCTCCCCCCTTAATACATAGCATTTTTATCATCCTTAAGACAAAGTAGCTGGCAAAATATTTAAGCGATCCGAAAGAAATGTTTTTATTTGCCTGTGTGCGAATTGGGTTATCTGCCGATCTTGTTTATGAAATTTGGGGCTGCCTTTCCAGCAGTCTGTTCGCCTCTCAAATCTTTCCCGGCTCCCATTTCCATATTTCTGCGTGCATGTTCTTTGTTAATCACTTGGCAAGCGCTTATTTGAATATTAAAAATTTCTTTAATCATCAAAGGCAGGAGCACAGTCTCATGAATATTCATATTTCCCCCCCCCCTCAGACTGGATTCTAGTTCATTACCCTGCAGTAAAAGCCAAACAGCCATCAATCGCCCTCATTACAGGCTCTGGCGTTTTGATTGGCTGCCTCCTGCCCAGAGCTTTTTTTTTTAATTTATTTTTTTATTTTTTTTATTTTTTCCTTTCTCCTATGAGCTGTCTTGTACCTGCCAACAACCAAAAAAAAAAAAAAAAAATCAACAATGCAAGAATACATTTCTCTGGTTCAAAAACAACTTTGCAAACTTGTCAAACAGTCCTCGTGGCTTGCTGCTGCCGAAGTGGTCACCGGTCAGCAGCACTACCCCCCTACCTCTTAAAAAAAAAAAAAAGAACGGGTGGGGGGGCGGGAAAAGGTGGGGGAGAGAAGAATTAAATAAATAAATAAAAAGGGAGAAACTTGAGCCTCAGAGATGAATATTTGTCAAGAGAGTTGACGTAAGTTTCATTTGCATAATGACTTTGTACTTCTGCATTAATAAAATTTGCATATGAAGCCATGTTAATTACTCCTGATCATGCTTTTTGCATTCATGCATAGTAATTTTCTCCGACTTGTGAGAATTAATGTCTTGGCATGGGGGGAGGGGGCGCGGGGATTGTCAGGTTTCCTTGCCAGTGGCCCTCACTCACAAGCGCTCACTCCCTGTCTGTCTCCCTCCTTGATCTATGACTCATTTTTGCACTATCAGTAGGAGTTCTTGGCTTAAAAAATGTATCAATTGAAAAGCACCAGTAGGGAGAAAAATCTACATCTCCAGTACAGTGTATTCCAGAGCTCCTCTCGCCAGCTAGGAATCCTTAACCCTCCCATGTGGGAGGGGCGCCCGCGGATCCAGCATTGGGAACGGTGCACCTTCCCCTCACCACCAGGCTGGGGCTTTTCCAGGCGCGTTTTTGTGTGTCTACACGCCGCCGGTGGGTGTGGGCGTGCTCTCGGGGTAGTGCGCATGTGTGAGGATGAAGCAGGAACATCTGCAGGGCCCCTTTAGAAGGGAGACAGGTTACAGACACCCTCAGAATGCATGCAGTAAAAACTGCCTTGTGCCCTGATTTGGAGCTTAAGAAACATTTTAGGGATCTTATTTTTGGACTTTTTTGTGCCTCTTTGTGCAGGAGGCATAGAGCAACATTCTAACCCCTGTGAGCCTCAGTTTTCTCATTCATGGGGGGTTCATAACACCTACTCCCAGAAAAGGCTGCTGGCCTTAAATGATATGTGTTCATTGTTTCTCTTCCCTCATGAAAGCCAACTTCCATGATAAGGAGTCGAGCCAGCCAGGGTTTTATTTTTAAGCCACCTGGATCCTGCATAAAGCTGACATGGCGTCTTGGTGTCCCTCTTCCACATACCTCGGGTGCTGTTCCAGTTCCAGACGGGAACCCACCTAGACCTCAAAATTACCAGAAGTAATTTTTAAGAGTGTCTTGCAGGGCTTTGTCGGGTGCCTTCTAGAGCTGAGAACACCCGACAGACATTCCCTGCCAGGCTGTGGGGAGGGGGCCGGAACAGTTCCAGGGTGGAAAATAAATGGATGGTAGTGGCCATTCCGTGAATGTTCACTGGAAGCCAGCCTCTGGCCAGGCTTGTCCTGACCTTCCTTTAAGGGCGGGGCTCTGAGAAAGTGACTCACCCTGGGTCACGTGGCCAGGAAATGGCAGAGAGGATTGGGCCTAGGCCTCAGCTCCAGGCCTGCATCTGAGCTCAGGCTTCCTCTGTGTGTGTCAGTCTGTTGTCACTGGGCCTCAAGGGCTCTGTTGAGCATGTTCTGGATTTCCTGCCTGCACTTGAATGCAGGCGCTCCTTCCTTGAGGATGGGCAAGGGCTGGGAGGTGGCCTGGGGATGGGTGCTGAGGCCAGACAGTCCTCACCTTGGACTTTGCCCTTTCAACCACTTTAAGGTGTACAGTTAGTGGTTTTGAGTGTCTTCACAATGTTGTGCAACCATCACCACTGCTGTCTAATTCCAGAACATTCTCTCCACCCCAGGAAGAAACCGTGTCCCCGTTAGCCTTCACTTCCCCGCCCCTGGCCCCTGCAACCACTTGGTCTACTTTCTGTCTCTGTGGTTTTGCCAACTCTGGACATTTACTGTAGTCACACAGTGGGTGGCTTCTAGCATTGCCTTCTGCTTTTGCTCTAGCTTCAGGAGAGAAATTCTGGAGTTTCTGGAGTTCCACCCTTGGGTTAGGCTGCTGGGGGTGGGGGGAGGGATTCCCCAGGGCAGAGGCCTTCTGAGAGCAACTGGAGAGTCCTCTGCGGGCAGCTTAGGATTAGAAGCGTCTCTGTCTGGTTGTCCCCTCCCCTGCCTCCTTTGAGCCAGCCCTTGGAACAGGTGGTCTTCAGTGAGGTTGGAATTCTTAGTGGGGCATAGGGAAGCCCCTCCAGGGGGCAGCTTGGCCCCCCAACCCTACCTGAGTTGGGGGATGACTTGCCTTTAAAGGCTCTGGCCTAAGCCTGACCTTTCCAGAAGGAGAGCTGTGTGGCTGGACCTGCCCTTAGATCCTTCCTCTCAACCTTGGAGACCTAGGTTCTGCTCCCTTTCTGCTTAGGCAGTCCTGAGCACTCCTGTCACTCTTTCTCAGCCATGGTAAATGGTGGTGGCTGTGTCACGGTTTCACCCAGAACCGGGGGGGCCTGGATTTGCTCTTTTTCAGTCTCCCATGGCCCAGCTGAGCCCAAGGGCCCTCCGGCTTCCCTCCATTCCCACGTGGCCCTTCTTCTCAGCACCCTTGGGCGCCCTGGTCCCTCCACACCAGCTGTAGCCCGAGGGGGAAGTATGGCATATCCAGGCTTTGGAGACACAACTGGGTTCAAGTCCCGGGTCTCTGTGAGCCTCAGTACCTCCTGTGGGATGGCGGATGGTTTTCTCAGCTGAGTGAGGTATTGGTGGTAGGTGCTCAGCACAAAGCCGTGTCAGGAGCCTTCCACGGTGTGAAGGCAGGCGGATGCAGACAGGACTGAATGTGCAGTGTCCAGTGCTGGGCCAGGGGTTTAGGAGAGGACTGGCCAGGGCAGGTTTCCAGGAGGAGACAGAGACACTGGCCTTGGGTGTCGACTTTACATGGGGGCCAGCACTGAGTCTGTGGCTGGAACTGTGTGGGGTCACTGGCCATGCCTCCCTTCTGGGGCTGTCATGGGCTCAGCCACGCCCCGGGCCCCAAGCCTTGCCTCGTGCAAGGTCTTCAGGGGCTTTGGCTTCTTGGCAGGACATTTGCAGGTCTTCTGAAAGGCCCTGGATAATACCCGGTTTGTAGAGGCAGGTGCCGTAGCGGAAGAGCCCCGGTTCTGGAGCCGGGCGGCCTGGGTTTGGTGGGGCTTTGGTCACGTCATCGGTTTGCTGGTCTGTGTAGTGGGTCTCCCAGGCCCTGTCCCCTGGGCATGTTGGGAGGCTCACTCAGGAGGGGGCCTGACAGGATCCTGGCCGGAAGTGGGCTTGTGGGGCCCCGTGGCTCTCCTGGGGGGGGGGAATCCCTTGTGGGGCCCCGAGGTGGGCAGACCCCCACCCTGCAGGCCCGTGTGGGGTGGTGAGCGGCGTCGGGTGGCCTCCTTGGCAGAGCCGGCCGGGGGCCCAGCTGCCCTAGTCTTGTTGGTGTTTTCTTTTTGTCTCTCTGATGCTTCCCTGCTCAATTATTTACCCAGGGAATTTGGGCTTCTTCACTTGTGGTTTTGGCAAGGGCTTCACACAGATTTTTGCCCTGGTGGTCTCTTAGCCATTTAAGATAAACGGCCAAATCAAACGCAGGCCTTGCTGGGGAGTCGAGGCGGGCCGTGGGGCTGGGCGGAGGCAAGAGAGCTCCTGGCCCTGCATCCTGGCTGTCAGATGGGGGAGGTGCCCCCCGCTGGCCCGAGGCATGAAGAGGGGTGCTGGGCAGTGCCAGGGTTTTCTTGGGGGTGGTTGGGGGGCGCGTTTAAAGCCTTCCGAAAGGCCTTGGGGCTTGTGTGCTGTGTGCTTGATGCTCAGGTTGCTGAGGAGGACCGTGGGCTGGAGAGAGACACCAGCTGGCCGTCCGCCGGGCCCGCAGGTTAACCAGTGCCCAGGTGCTCAGAGGTAGATTGAGGTGTCCAAAGGCCTGTCCCAACAGCCCACCTGATGTAGCAGACGGTGGTGGCTTGGAGCCTCTCAGCTCCTCCAGAGGGCGGGGGGGGCCCAGGTTTTTGGGAATGAATCCCCAAAGGGAGCCAGCTCTGGAACACTCCAGAAGCCTCCACTTGGCGGGTGGGGGGCTTCCTGGGTTCAAGGGTCCTGACAACCTCTTTTGCCGCCCCCCCCTGCCCCCAGGGATGGGAGTCTGGTCCCAAGACAGCCCATCCTGGCAGCTGTGGAAGGAGGACCCCGTGAGACCCCCCACCCACTTCCCTGGCCTCTTGCTCCCTGCCTGTGCCTGGTCACCTTCCCTGCAGGACCGGGCACCCTGGGGCCTCCTGCTCTGGAAGGGTGGCCTGCACCCCTCTCTGCCCCGGGCCCCTGCCCCACACCCCGGGTCCCTTGTACGGTCCAGGGCCCGACTGACCAGTCTTTTTTATTGTTTTTTCTCCAGGGCCGTGCAGGCCTGCCCAGCTGCCAGCGACGGCCCCCATAGCTGCCTCCTCCCACCCTCACTCATCCGTGATCACTCCACCTCTGCGCACCCTGGGCGCTCTGCCGCCCTGCTTCCCCCTGCCGTGCTGCAGCGCGCGCCCAGTCTCGGGTGACGGGACTCAGGGTGAGGGTCAGACGGAGGCTCCCTTTGGATGCCAGTGTCAGTTGTCAGGTAACAGACGGCCGCGGTCGGGGGGGGGGGCGGGCTCCCAGGGATGGCGGGGTGTGCCCTGGGCCGAGCTGGCGGCTGCCTCTCCCAGGTGGGCCGGGCAAGGTGGGGCCCCAGGGAGGACGTGCAGTCCCACCCCTAAAGGCATTCTGGGGGGGGCACAGAGGGAGTGGTGAAGCACATCAACGTGCCCCTGTCCCCATCGGTCAGGAGGCTCCCCCGACGCCTCCGCCCGTTCTGAGTGTCTCACTCCCGGAATGCATTTCTCCAGCTTCCAAATTTCATCTCTTTGGGCTGTTTAGCTAAAGCTTAATTGGATAACACTTAACATCTGAGGTTTTCTTCTGCCCTCGCCACTGCCCCCCCCCACCCCAGTCACTGCCCCCTCCCTGACGACGGCCCTGGGGGGAAGACTCCCCGGTCGTCTGTGTACATCGCCGGAGCCATCCAAAATGCTGAGTTTCTCTTTGCCAGAATGTGTTGCCTATTAACTTTGAGACAAAAAAGTCACTCTGAAGGAATCTTTCAGCTGTGGCCGTGGGAGGGGGTGAAGCCTTGCGGGGTGCCTGCGGGGTGGGGCCATACACCTCCTTGCTGTGTGCCTCTCTGCAGGTCTGTGTGGCTGCCCATCGTACAGGTGGGTGGACGGGCAGCCTCGGCACAGCGCCCCCCACCTCTCTTGCCAAACACAACCCAAACTCCTGCTGTGGCCTGGGGTCCCTGGAATTTGTGGGCACAGGCCTCTCCTGCTCAGGGCCTGGTGCCAGGATGCTGACACAGACACAGGTGGTGGTGAGCGCCCTGAGGCCTGGTTTCCGGGCAGGGGCCGGGAAAGGGGTTGGGGGGGGGCCGTTGCAGAGCTGGGGCCGATTCCGTTTGTCCCAGCTTTGTCACCAGGCACGTTGCAGGCTTTCTCTTGATTTGGGTAGTGAAGGGAAAACTGTCTTTCTGAGACAGGTTTTGCTTTAATTGAAGCTGTCCCAAGGGACGGCCCCCGGTGGAGCCCCAGCTCCAGGGGCAAGAGCCTCCTAGGCCTTCCTGCTGGTCGGGTGACCTGTGGCCTTCAGCAGCTCCTGCTGTGGCGTATGGCGGCATCATAGGTACTGGGCTAATGCCGTGAATGCACAAAGCAAAGACTAAAATTGTCCAGGAAGGCGTCGGCTCCACGGGCAAAGCGGCCGACTCCCTGCCCCGGGCCGCCCGAGCGCCCAGGGGGATTGGGGCTCCCATCCCAGCTCTGTAGGGCTGCGTTGTGATCTCTGCTTGCTGAGCGAGGGATGCCTGCTTCGTCCGGGTGCTTGCCCTGCTCTCGTGGCTTCCTGTAGTTAGTGCTGCGCCCCCGCAACCACGCGGGGGGTCGCGCTATCAAAGATAAGCCCGAGTGTTTCTGACTAGACTCTTGTCAAGTTCTGTGGTACAGAAACATGATTTCCCTGGCAGAGGTGCACCCGGGGCTTCGCTTAACCCTCTGTTGGCTCTGGTAGCAACATGTCCTCCCACGCTTGCCCTCAGCCACAGTGCCACCCCCTTCCTTCAAGGGACCACGTGTGGAGGGCCTACTGTGTGCGGGATTGCCCTGGGCCTTTTGTGTGCATTCTTGAATTTAATCCCCCTAGTGACCTTAGGAGGTAGGTTCTCTTCTCCGCACCTTCCAGATGAGGAAGTGAGGCTCGGAGATGTGGAGTTCTCATAGCCCACGTTCAATCATTCTTTTACGAAAAGCCCTTTCTTGGGCACCTCATTTGCAGGCGCCGTGCAAACCAAGGTGGAGTCAGGCACAGCGGGTCCGGCCCTCCTGCAGCTTGCCCGTGGAGATGGGGAGCGTGGGGATGGGGACCTGCAGAGAGGGCTCCTGGAAGGGGGCGGAGGGGCAGAGGTGGGGTTTGACCCTGGCTGGGCATCCAGAACCTGCTTCATCTCTGGCATTGGCTCGTCTGGCTTAGAGGCCCTCTTGGATTTTAGAACTTGATGCCATGAGGGCTTAGAGTCCGCGAGCAGCCCCCAAACTGATGTCAGTGTCCAGGGAGGGGAGCGAGGCAGGGTGGGCTCTGTTCCTGGGGTCTCTGGGACCGCCCTTCCCGACCCTCCTCGGAGGCCTGCTCTTGGGCAGTGATTCCCAGCGCTGTCCTCTCTCAGTGTTGGATCCCCGTTACTTAGCCTGCTCGAGGTTGTCCCTCTGTACTTTCCGATCAGTTTCAGTACCTGAAAATATCCTGTTCCGGAGGTTTTTGTCCCTTTGTGGCTTCTGTCCCTGGCACTGGGCTGTTTGCTGAAGTGTTTTTAGTGCCTGTTTAATTAGTCGTTGGAATGGAGTCATTAAATTCGCAGTAACCCGTTAGGAAGAAGCAGTCCTCTGTAAAGACGGAGAGGGGCCACCGTCCTTACTTTGTTTTGTCTCTTTTCAGATCAGGATGCACTGAACCTATCTCTTCACATTAATACGGAAAACCCTGGAGTAACCGTGTTTCACACAGGTTAATTGCATGCCCGTGAAGGCATTCACAGTTATTTATAGAAAGATGTGATTTTTATGGGGGAGCAAGCCACACAGGTTTGTGTGTTTGTGTGCCTCTCTGGCTGGCAGCGTCCCGGACAGCCCTGCCTCCCGGGACCTCCACCCCAGACCTCCGGATGGTCACGGTGGGGTGGAGAAGAGGCACTTGGGCTCTTCATTGCTTTTTGACTCTGCTGAGATATTGGGAGGGCTTTGAGTGTGGGCGTTCCTGGAAACTGAAGTTTCTTCCCTGAGACATTTCGTGTAGGAACTAATCCAGCGCGCCCGTGGAGTCGAGAAGCTCGGGCTGTGATCCTGGCCCTCGCTCCACCTGGCTGGTGACCCTGAAGGAGCTGTTTTCCCTCTCTGGGGCTGTTTCCTCTTCTGTAATAAAAAATATAAATGCGTCTACACACGTACATATGGATCACGTGATGTACACGTAACGTTTAAAAATGAGACTCCACATTTGACTTCTAAAACAGATCCTATTGATCTGTTTCAGTTACTGGCTGCTGTGGATGACTGGGCACGTGACTTAGCTCAGGTCCCCAGGGCAGGGGTGTGGTGGTCGGAGGCCGGTTCGGAAACCTCTGGGCCCTGGCTCCCCTGAACCTTTCCCCATTCCAGGGTTTCCATGACTGTCAGGCAGTCATCAGAGTGCATCCCCTGCCCGAGTCAAGGCTGCTGTTCTGTATGGTCTTGGGACCTTGGGCAAATCATTTTCCTCCCTGTTCCTCAGTTTCCCCACCTCTAAAATGGGGGTGATGATAGTTGATGCCTTGAAAGCTTGTTTTGAGGATCAGATGAAGTCATATATGCCAGGTGCTGAGACCAGTGCCTCATGCTAAGTGAGCCTTGTAGAAGTTCTGATTCATGCTTGAGCAGAATGGGTTTTATGACAGTACACAGTTACGTGTCTGAGATTTTGTATTGGGCTGCATCTCCAGGTTCCGTTCTTACAGGCATTTAGCCTCTTGGCTGGCTCAGATCATGTACCAGCATCGTGAGGTGGAAAAGGAACCTAGAAACTTCATTGCATATTTAAAAGCTGCAAATGGTCATCTGCTACTGTGATTAATACATGGGCTCGATGAAGTTCAAGGTCTCATGCAAGAACACACAGGATCCCAGCTCGGGGAAGTGGAAGTGTTTGGATTTAATAGAAGGAGTCAGTTGCAGTCATTAGTAGATGCTGAAATCACAGGGCAATCTTGTAAAGTTAAATTCAATTTACTTTTCTACTGAAATTGCTTGCTGTGTTATTTAACTAGTCTGGGGTTTCTTGGCATGGGTTAAAGGGACAATAAAGATAAAAGAATACCTGTAAGTAAATAGTAGGGTGTAACAGTAGAATCTGTCGTGTACTCCTCCTTCAGTTATATCCCAGTGTTCATTTGTGTTGGTTTTTATAACCGGAGCCATCCAATGGGACACTGTGGATTAGACCACCCTAGCTGTGGAAGCTTGATGCAATTAATACAGTCTGTCTGGAAAGTGGCCTTATTTCTGGAAGTTTTATGTTAATGATATGGTCTGTGCTTTGCACATTTCATACCAGAACAAGAAGCACGCCGTAGTTTCATTCTGAACTGGGTTTGATTAACACCGGAGGATCAGTGGGAAGCCAAAGGGTGATGCCGACCGAGATGGCAGCGCCCACCAGGCCCCCGCGGGTGCACCGCCTCTGTTCTGGTGCAGGGGGTGCAGGGGCTCCCCAGTAGGGCATGAGAGCCTCCGTGGACACTCTGGAGGGAGGGGTGAGTGTGGGGGGTGGAAGAAGAAGAGAAGTGAGTGTGGATGAACGTGTGTGGACAGAAGCACTCCGTCTGGGGAAGGTTCGAGACGTGCTCTTGTGATTCCCTCCACAAAGTCGCGTTTGCTGTGAGTCTTTTGGGGCTAACCAGGTCCCAGTGTCAACGGGGGTTGGCTCACTGGAGGAAAAGGGCTCTCAGGGGAGTCATTAAAAATTTAAAGAGTCATCTGTACGCCTTGCGATGTCTACAATGCCGAGGGGGCTGGTGGTCCGGCATTTACAACCCGAGGGTGATTCTTGCATGCCTGTTCAGTGGATTCTGCTCCGGTGTCTGCCTGCTTTTTGGGATCACACCGCTGCAGAGGCTGCTCTGGACCTCCTGTCTTTAGAACCCAGACGCCTCCTTTTGTAATTGGGGGAAGTACCAGGAGAAGCCACCGAGTGCTGCAAGGACCCCAGGACGGAGGAAGCCGACTCTCCAGGCTGCGGGAGGTGGCAGAGGGCAGCAGGGCTTGGGAGGACTCTAGGAAAGCCCACTGTCCGGGAAGTCACATCTGCTCCAGCACCTACAGGGCCAAGGGCACCGCATTTCTGGGGACCAGAAGGAGTGCAGTGTTGCTTGTGGTGGGGGGGGGCGGCGGCGCAGGGGCACCTACCAGCATGACTGTCCCTGGATAAAAGAGGTCCCAGCAACGTCCGGGAGAGGAGACCACTGCAACCATGCCAGATTCTATTTCACTCCGAGCCGGCCCT